ATATATATATATATATATATATATATATATATATATATATATATGAAGAATATTCATTTTTATTTAGAAATTATATTATTAAAAAAATAAGGACCCAACAGATAAATATTTCATGTTAGGTGTGATCGAGATATAATTTATTCTTTAAATATTTTTTATTTAAAAAACATTTCTTTAATCATTAGTGGTTATAAATATATCGACTATAAAAGAAAAATATATGTATGATTTTTAATATTAAACTCTATGTTATGTTGTTATCCATATCGAAATACTAATTTGAACATTGAAGATATCGTCCATCTTAATATCGACATTGATGTTACTAGCTACTCTGACCTAATAGTAGTCTCAATCACGCTCCTTCTAATATGTTGTGGTGAGTTCGATGACCTAACCTATATGTCCAAATATTTTAGATTAATGATTCTTAGGGTTAATGATTGTGCTTCATAATTTCCTATGGCTAAAGTCAAAGGTTTAAACTATTCACAACATATTTTGCATAAGTTGAAGACCCGAGCTATAAATCTCATAAACCCTACCTTGCAAATGCAAATCCAAGAAATTGGATGATAGAAGAACATGCATCGAGAATCCCATCTCCAAAAGAACGATGACCCATCGATGTCTTGTGAGATCGCCCTTCATCCAAAAGATTCAAAATGAATCAATTCCGTTGGAATTTTTTCTTTGGACTTTGGAAATATTGGACATAAGCATTGATCCATTCGAGTGCCCAGTGGCTTTTTGTGCCCAGATGACCCTCTACGAAAGAAAGGAGGCTTTGATGTGTTGTTTGTCTGCCGCTCTTCATGTAGATGATACTCCTTAGCAAAGGATTTCAAGAAACATTTCATTAGCAATTGTTGGTCCAAATGCATGACTGCAGCTCTGATTGATTTCATTTCTAGATTCAAAAACAAAGCTCAGGAAATCACTAATACAGACCCATCAGTTGTCATCGAAGCCTTCATGTCAAAAAATATCAGCTACTTGAGAGGGATCCGAAAATTACTTTCAATGAAGAGAAGATAGATCACATTGACCTCAATCATGATGATATCATCACCTCCTTGAGGATGTTAACGGTTTTTGAGAAAAGAATATTGATCGACATAAATAGTTCTACCAATATACTTTATTTTAATATCTTTTAAAAATGAGATTAACTACTATCTTACTCTAATGTCCTCATTATTGATGGGATTTACCGATGACTCAATCTCACCTCTCATTATTGTCACATTCGGTTTAGCCCCTAGGTCAAAAAATAATGATGATAAGATTCATTATGATCAAGATCCCATTAGACTATAATATCATCATTGAATGACCTATTTTGAATAGACTTATCATATATTTATAAAATTCATAATTAAAACGGAATCAATTAGTTAGAAAGCAATACGATGGAATCCCATAATTATTACATAACATTGGTCTATCTCACCAACAAGCTATTATCATCCGTCACACCAATAAACTCTTGAGGTACTCACCAACAAGTTATTCTCATCAGTCACCAAGAAGCTATTATCATCTATCACACCAGTGAACTCTTGAGGTACTCACCAAGAAGCTATTACCATCCGTCACACCAATAAACTGTCAAACTTGAGGTAGTTTAGTTGCTTACCAAGGTTCCCTTTGATAGAGCCCGACCTTATCGCACTATTAAAATCGAATCAAAAGAGAGCAAAACTCTATGGGGTTGAACTCTCTCTCTCTCTACTCCTCCCCTTTTGAACTTCGAATGCTAATTTTAACATCGAAAGAATCACATCGAAAGGCCCTCCTGACATGAGTCTTCTTGCAAGAGGAAAGCATACCGGGTTTGACACCACGTCGAGAGTCCACGGCAACCAAAGCAATATCAACTCTCCTATGGCGGTTTGACATCAGCTGATAACAATTATAATCCATTGCTAACTTTATATTGTGCTAAAGCATCAGAGGGGTGATATGCAGTTCCTGCTGCAGATCAATTTGTTCTTGTTCATGGTATTAGAATCGTCGTAAAAAAGAAAATTAATAGATTCCTTCGTTTTATAGGATTAACAGATCAAGTTCATCCTAGTCATTACTTATGTAATGACACCATCGTTTCCTACTTCTAATCTTCATCAATCAGCCATTCGATAGATCCAAACTTAACTCAA